GCATTGCAGGGTGGGGATGTGTCACCTCTGAGTCTTAGTAAGATGTTTTTTTGTTAGAACACATTTCACAATTTTATATTTCACACTCTTGTGACCCTGCCGGGTCCTGTCGCCGGCCAAGAGCTGCCACAGCACTTACCCCATCACTGGGGATTTTGCAATGAATGCAGTTGGCCGCTTCCCAAGTCTTGACCATTTTTGGTGTATTCCCCTGCTCCTCACCTGCCTTTCCTGTGAGTCTCCTTTATTTTGACACCTTTACTCACATATGCCATTTAATCTGAAGACACACAAGTGCTAACTGAAATGTGTGCCGTCTGCGTGGCCAAGTTTAAAGACACATTTCAGTTTTTGTAATGCTGTACTTGCAACATCTCCTCTTTTGCAAAACCACCTCTTTCTGGTCTTTTCCTGGATCTTTTGGAAATGCTTTGAAATGTATTCAGGCCATCAGATGCTTTTGTCTGGGGAAATCATGTAGTCGGCGTAGAGATCTAATTTCTTTCTTAGCTTGAGCAAGAGGCATTTAATACAAAACATTTCAACTTCTCATACTTTAAAGCCTGTGCTTCTATGGGGAGTTTATGTGACCATCTTCTATTACCCAATTTCCCACAAAAACTAGTTTTTGAATAATAAGGCCGAGCATGCTAATGGAACTCCTGTGGTTGGAACCATGTGGCAGAGGTTGGGGAAGGCAGAGTGGAAATTCTAAACCCTCACAATGTCTGGGTTGTGGCTGGGCTAGGCAGGGGGCAAGAAGGGGCAGTGGAAACTTGGTAGAGGAGGGAATCCAGAGGACTAGTGAGGATTTGATGACTGGGGAAAGGCCAAAGGAAAAACTAAGAATGAATCGAATAAGAGAGGCCTGGGTAGCTCAGTTGGTTAAGTGTCCCACTCTTGATTGGCTCAGGTCATGATCTCAGGGTCGTGGGATCAAGCCCCAAGATGGGCTATGTGCTCGGCGTGGAGCCTGCTTAAGATTCTCTCCCTCTCCTTCTCCCTCTCTGTCCCCTCCCTGCCACCTCCCCCACATTTCCCCCACCCCTCCTTACAAGCTAAAAAAAAAAAAAAAAAAAGGAAGAAGAAGAATACATCGAATAAATCAGGAGAAGAAAGCACAAAAGAAGAATAAAGGTCAACACAAGTAGAAGGTGGAAAGAGAAGGTCCAGGGAAGGACAGGAGCAAGCCTAATGACTGGAAATGGCATAAAGTGTACAAATAAAACAAAGAGCAAGCATGAAAGAAAGAAATACCCATTCCAGGAAGTTTCTGCCTAAACATTCAATGACTCATTAGGTCAAAGCAAAATACCAGCATAAATCGCATACTGACGGGTGTGGGCAGGCCTCTTGTGGGTGAGAAGCCACGGCAGTCGCTCCCACACTAGCTCACTGTTTAAAGCCTACCCTGAAAAACAAAACAAAACTACAACCTCTGAATTCCTAGAAATTGTTTCACCTCATGTTCGTGAAGTTTACAGGATGGACACCGGACCCTGCATTAGCACAGTGCAGTGGGAAGACCGCGGTCCTGGCCTCAAGAGCCCTGAGCCTGGCTCTGGGCCCTAGCGGTGGCCAAAGGCTTTCTAAGTGTGGATGGTTTCCTACAAAGAAATCCAGAAGCCACGACCCAGAACAGGTAAGGTGGAGCTGTCCAAGCTGGGTCAGGCTGGGAGCCTGCCTTCCGCCCTGCGATGGCTCCTCCCCCACTCCCCACAACCCGGGGCATCTCTGTAGAATTCTCCGTCAGCGGGCAAAGCCTGCCCAGCGTCCAGCTCGCCAAGCTGCGGGGTCTCTTCTTTCTTAACCAATTGTTTGCCAAAACAGAAAAATCAGGATATCTTACAAAAAAAAAAAAAAAATTTTTTTTTTTTTTTTTTGATGTCTACTCTCTTTTGAAAAACTGGAGCCTGGGGCCACTGGAACTCTGTCCCATGCTGCAACAACCCATGAGGGCTGAATGAAGGGTGTGTGGCTCTCCAGAGGCCACAGTCCAATGCAGCTAACCTGAGTTCTCGCTATGAATCCAAGATTGTAGCTACCTCTGCCTGATGAGGCCCCGAGGAAAGACCTCTGGAGACAGATGGCCTCTCAGGAATCTTCCAGCTTGAAATGTTCTGCAGTTGTAAGGCACTCCCCAACTCAGGAAGGAGAGGCCACACTTGTAGTCATTCTGCTCTCCTCATATTTGCTTAACCAGAAAGTATATTGGGAGTGTAATCATATGTAGCTGAATGGGACCGACTGTCTTCTGCCCGTAGTCCCAATCAGAGTCTGTGCCTCCTCTTCCCTGGCATCCTCCACCCCATGCACTGACAGGGGCTGAGAGTAAGGAAGTTTTGACTTTATACTTCACCCAGAACCCTCTTCCTCCTCCTCTCAGGGACCTGGTCACAGCCCTGCTCTACGTCAGTCACATGCTGACGTCTTCCTAGAAGCCTCCCCACCCTGAGTAATTTGTTTCCAATGTCTCAGGTTTTATGCCCCATTGACTTGTGTTAATCTGCAAGTGCTTGCCTATTCTGTGAATGTTCTAGCATATACTATCAGACACACCGCCTCTTGGGTGATGGGGACAAAGCCTTCACTGTATTGCTCAGTGGTTTCCCAATCACCAGGAGGAGCTAAAGAGTTATTTTCTAAGCTGGTGTCATAGACATCTCTTGTACTTCATCCGATTTCTAAGTAGGATGGCAACAAAAAATGATGCACAGATATGATACAGGCACAATCTAGAATCCACCCCCCCCCCCCAAGTAATGAAAGGAGCATCAGGTTTCAAAATTCAGCGTAAAGAACCAGTTTCCAAGTTCGGAGAACTGCCCCCCCCCCCCCCACTATCATTGTCTCTAAGCATGTTACCTACTTTTCTTCAATTTCAAGTTGTCCTTCTATAAAACCATTCACTACTCATTCTACAACAGCTTTGGAATTCTATAAAATAATTCAAAAAGCAGAACAATATGGAGAACATGTAGGTGTGGGGTAGGGGAGCTCTGTGGCTCTGGATTTCTAGGAATTAGATGCTTTTCTAACCCTGAAAAGGTAACTGACTTACGGATATCATTTTAATTTCGTCTAAGGGAGGTTTTCAAACTATAATGGGCATTGTGAGAGTTTGGAAAAAGAAAACATAGTAGTAAAAAATGAGGTAAGTGGAAATTATAAACCAAAATCAAGACTTATTTTCATCCACAGAGTCAACTCCTTGGAATAAATATCTAGTAGAAGGGACAGACTCAAGAGCCATAGACAGATGTGCTTCTTGAACTGCTGAGAGCCTGGGACAGTGGATTTGGGGAAGAGATTAAAACCCATATTGCATGCCTCAATTGTCAGGGCCTTGTTGGTAAATCTACACTTTGCCAGATGAATTGTGTTCTGAACCACAGCACTGTCCTTGAAGAACACTTTGAGGTGTGAGGCTTTCCCAAAACCAGGTGCTAAGTGATAAACATTTTTAAACATCACTCTTTGGGTGCTTATTACTGCTGTGTAATGTGAGGACGGGGAAGACAGAAAGAGACACGCAGCAGATTTGCTATTGATGACGGGCAGCGGTGATGGTAGCTGGGGGTTCAGTTTACTCTTCTCTTTACTTCGGGGTTTGGTTCAAATTCTCTTTCTTAAAAATACAAAAGTGTATCACGGGGAAAAGGACGGAAAGTCACAGACGGCATTCGGTCAAGCTCCCGCACAGTCCAAGCAGAGCAGGGGGCCCTTCTCCACCTGCCCCATCCCCTCTTTGGGCAAGTCCGTGCGTCACTGGGAGGAACATGGCTCCTTCGCCAAGGCGGACGCGCCGCTCGCTCTCCTTCTCTGAACGCTCTGCGTGTGCCACGTGCCTTTACAGCCTGCAGCGCGCGGTGCCCGAGGAGCGCGCCGCGAGGCGCCGTTTCTCCCGTTTCTCCACGTCTCTGACGTAGCCCGGGACCTCAGGCGAGAGGACAGCCGCATCCAGTTAGGGGCAGAAATGACACCAGGGGGCCGCCAGCTCCGAGATCTCCGGAAGAGGCCCCGCGCGGTCGCGTCCCGCCTCGGCAGCGCGCGCCGGCGGGCGCAGCAGCCGGGCGCACCCGCGGCGGCCACCGCTCGGCGTGGCCGGGGCAGACGGACCTCGGCGAGCCTCGTTCCCCAGTCCTCTTACGCAACAACTTCGCGTCCGTCATCTTCGCCCTAATTGTGCAGGGGCGGCGTTCGTGCGCTGCGCTTTCCCTCCCCGCTCCCGGCCGCCGCGCTCCCCGGGGAGGCGCGCGGGGGCATTGTCGTCGCTGCCTACGCAGCACCGCGGGGCTCCAGCCGGCGGCCAGTCCCCTCCCCACGGCGGCCCGCCCCGGCGCCGGCAGCTCGCCAGCGCCCCCTCCCATCTGCCCCCTTCGCCCACCCCAAGGAGGAGGGGTCCTCCCGCGAGGGTGCGGGGAGGGGCAGGCGGAGGTCCGCGCCACGCCCGGGTCGCCGCGGCCCTCGGCCGGGTCCTCGGTCGGCAACAGGTAGCCCCGCCGCCGCGTGCTCGGGAGACAAAAAGCGCCTGCGAGCGAGCGCGGATCCCCGGGCTCCCGGAGGCACCGCGGCGACCGGGGCGCGGAGGCAGCGGTGCGAGAGCTGGACGGCGAGGGTGGAGGGGCGGGGGGCTTCGGGCCCGTCCGCAGCTCGCCCCGGTTGCGGCGGCGGTGCCGGCCGTTGCGCAACCGTAGAGCCGGGCGCGGGGCGCGGGGCGCGGGGCGCGGGGCGCGGACCCTCGCGGCGCTCGGGCGGCGGCCGGCGGCGCGGCGGGCAGGGGTGGGGGCGGCGGAGCGGGCGGGGGAGGGGGCGGGCCGGGGGGCGGGCCCGAGGAGAGCCCGCCCCCGCCGGCCGCGGCCATTGGTGGCGGGCCGGGGGCGGGTGCGGGCGCGGCGATTGGGGCCGCGGCCGCCCGTCACCGCGAGGCTGGCGGGCGGCGACGTAGCGCGGCGCTCGGAACTGACCTACTAACACACATCTCCCGGCGCGGCCACGGCGCCCGCGGACCCGGCGCGCCGCCCGCCTCCCGCGCCGCGCCCTCGCCGCCGCCGCCCCGGACGCCCGGCCCGAGCCCCGCGCGCCGCGGGGCCCCGCTCCGGCCGCCCGCGCTCTCTCGCCGCCGCCCGGGCTCGCCGTCCCGAGAGCAGGAACACGGTAAGCGCTCCGCCCACCGCCGGCCCGGCCCGGCGCCCCGCGCCCCGCCCGCTCCCGGGGCGCGCGGCCGGCGGGCGCGGGGCGCGGGGCGCGGGGCGCGGGCCGGGCCGTGCGCGGGGCTGGCCGGCGGCGGCGGCGGCGGCGGGTGTGCGCGGGGCGTTCATTGCATAAACTTTTGCCGCCTCGGCAGGAGGGGCCTCGCCACCTCAAGGTGGCCGCTTTGATTGCAGCGCCCTCGCGCCGGCACGTAGTCCGGGCGGGCTCGCGCCCCCCCCGCTGCGGTTGCATAACGTCTCCTGATTTCAGGAAAATTGATGTTTCGGTGGAGCGGAGTGCCGGGGAGGCTGAGCCGTCTCGAGCGGGAAGGGCCGCGCTCGCTCCTTTCTCGCCCCTTCTGCGGGGCTTGCGGCGGGGGAGGAGGGGGCGCGGAGGGGGCCGAGTAAACGGGACTGGGCTCGATTTTCTTGCTGAGAAAAGAGCCTGGGGAGCGTGAACCGTGACGGCATTCCGAGAATGCGTGCGCGGCGTTTGTTTGTGTCAGGGGCTGTGTCTGCACCGACGTCTTCCACCCTGTCTGTCGTCAGCGCCCGGGAAGGTTGTGGGATTTGTCCTTGCGCAGATTGCATAATCTGTCCACCGTGAAATATTGGCTAGGGTTACGGGCAGATGTGGGAATGTGCACGGACGTGTGCAACGATTCGGAAATTTTAGCGCAGCGTTGGGTATTAGATCGTTATTTACATCTATACTACGTCCCAAATAAAAGGATCTATGTCTCAACACTCCTACAAAACATGAAGAATTCCTCGGGTTGTATTCTGATCTTGGATACTCCTGGGGTTCGCCCCTTAGGTGTCCTGAGCTATTATTTTTAAGTCAGGGACGAACCATTGTGGCGTTTACCTCCCTACCTTCTTGATTTTCACGTATTCCATTCCATCAGCCCTTTTTCTCACCTTATTGTCGTTGCTTTTTCAGACACGACAAGACAGATCACATAATAGTTTCCTGGAAATGTTGCATTATGTAACTGCCGAATTTGCTGGCAGTCAGCATAGGAAGCGGGAGCTAATTACGTGATTTTATAATCTTGCTACAAAGAAAGTAGGACAGTCTCAGCCTTTAAAATGTCACTGTAACAGTTTTTTTTTTTTTTAAGGGTATTTTAAACAGGAAAGTAGACAACCGGGTAAAGCATTGAGTTAGCTCACGCTGCCGAATGTGTGTCTTTTGCCCTAAATGAAATGTGCGTTCTTCTAAATTTAGCCCTATCACATTTTAACAATTGTGGCCTCGCAGCGCTATTTCTGGTGTTTTCTCCAGGGCTATGTGCAAATACAAGTTCAAGGCCATTTGCTGTAGTTTTAACTCCACGCCTTCGGAGACCTTTGATAAGATTGTATTTTTAGGAAGGCATTTCGCAGAGCCCGGTGATTTGCTGGATGCTGACTCCCATTTATCTTTATAAAGGACACTTTAGGAAAGTGCTGTGTTCCCTGAGAACAGCAGGGGATGGCCAAGTGTCATCTTCTGGTCTTGGCTTTTGTAAATAACAACAGGGAATGAGGTCACAAGTATTTATTTCACATCGTGGGTATTTTTTTTTTTTCTCCAGAGCAGATATGATTTATGGGAAACAGATATAGGTTAGTGGATTGCATTTTTTTGGTGTAGATTCCCTAGTTTTATTCCTGTATGTATGAATATATAATGTACCCATATTTTAAATTTCTTCCGGCATTCTTAGGTTGTGTAATTATGTGTGAATATATGTATATGATGGTGTGTATATGTCAGATTTTTTTTCCTGACGTAACATTTAAATAACTAAAGAGCAAGGCTTGGGTTTTTTTTTTGGGGGGGGGCGTATTATAGACATTCATCCCTGGAGCAAATTATATTACCCCAAATAATCGCAGTTGCTTTCCAACAAGCTAATAGTGCTCCAGGCCCCCTGATGTCAGACCCCGACCTACTTTGGAGCTTGGGCAGGGAGCCCCAGGCCTGCTGGGGAACACGTAGCGCCACCTTCCGATCGCGACCTCCAGGGGCGCGCCCCTCCCGCTTGCGGGCCCTCGGGGGACGGAGGCAGGGGGCTGGGAGGTGGGGGCGGAGCGTGGGGGCCTAGAGTCGGGACCCCCGAGCGCCCTGGGCGGCGCTTGGGCAGGAGCCGCACGGCGGCCTGCGCGCCTCCTCGCCCCCTCCCCACATTCCTTTGTTCTGGCGAGGGGGTCCTGGCAGCGCCGAGGCCCCGCTGCGCCGCCCACCCGGTGGGGGCGGGTCCCGGTGAGGCGCCGCGCTGGGGGCGCGGAGGGACCTGGGCCGGGGAGTGCGGGTGCGCTTTGGGCTCGCCCGGCCGAGGGAGGGGAGAGGAGCGCAGCCGGGGAGGAACGGGAGGGGAGCCGGGGAGGAGCGGGAGGCGCCCAGGGCGAGGCGCAAGGAGAGGGCAGCTCTAGCGGCCTGCCTCCTGCCTTTTGCCCGGTGAGCTTCTGAGCAGCGCGGTCACCTTTGTTCCAGGAGGCTTCATTGTATTTCGGAGCCAAGCGCTTCTTGATTCGTGAAGTGAGAAAGACTGAGAAAACCTCCAAATGTCAACAGACCACGGACATTGGGGTGGGGACGCTCCAGCATTGATGCTGATGGGAAGGGGCGCCCGGCTTGACTGTGGCCATAGTCGGGTCTTTTTCTCTCTCTCTCTCTTTCTTTCTTCTTTCTTCCTTCCTTTCTTTCTTTCTTTCTTTCTTTCTTTCTTTCTTTCTTTCTTTCTTTCCTTCTTTCCTTCTTTCCTTCTTTCTTTCTCTTTCTTTCCTTTCTTTCTTTCTCTCTTTTTCTTTTCTTTCTTTCCTTTCTTTTTCTTTCTTTCTTTCTTCTTTCTTTCTTTCTTTCTTTCTTTCCTTCTTTCCTTCTTTCTTTCTCTTTCTTTCCTTTCTTTCTTTCTCTCTTTTTCTTTTCTTTCTTTCCTTTCTTTTTCTTTCTTTCTTCTTTCTTTCTTTCTTTCTTTCCTTCTTTCCTTCTTTCTTTCTCTTTCTTTCCTTTCTTTCTTTCTCTCTTTTTCTTTTCTTTCTTTCCTTTCTTTTTCTTCCTTCCTTCCTTCCTTCCTTCCTTCCTTCCTTCCTTCCTTTCTTCCTTTCCTTTCCTCTTTTTCTTTTTTTATATACCTTTACTTCATGCGGTCAAAGGCTAGAGTAGAAAGAACTTGAATTCCCCGAGTTCAAAATAAAACAAAAATCAAAACGCCCACGTAGACGCCGCTGTCCTACTGTAAGACTACAGTACTTTCATCCTGGCATAAAGACTTCTGAGAGTGTGCTCAGCAACTGGTTTGCAGTGAATTCAGGGCGACATCACAGGTGCTCTCTGGCAGTCTGCTTTGTTGAAAAGTTGGTTTCTGTGGGATCACATCCTACATCCGTGCCCCTCAATCAGTTTCTCTCTTGAGCTGCAGGCCACTGTCTGTAGTTAGGGACCAGCTCTGGCGGAGTGCTAAGAGTTCAGGCTCAGAAGAGCTGGGCCCCAAGGCCCCAGCCTGTGATTTTGGGAGCTGCTGTGATCTCTGCTGGTGTCCAGAGTAAACTGAGAGAATATGACCCGTCGAGCTGGGTAGTTTTGAGGAGCTCAGTAAACCGTTCCCATATAATTCACCAGGAACCAGATTTTTTTTTTTTTTAATAAAGGCAGTCACCTTCATTTTTCTCTGCCTAAATCTCCGTCCAATAATAGTAAGGACTGAAGTTTGAGTTAAGCCTATATAATTAAAGATCCTTCTTGGGATACATTTTTGTTCTAATAATGATTACTTTTTTTTTTCCTCTCTCAAAACTGTGTGCCATTGCGTTCAGTGGTAATTTAAGTTTGAAGTGAATTCTTGACAGTGTTGCGGAGCCTCTGAAATCACTGGGTTAATGTTTGGGGGAAGCGTGGGTAGGAACACAGAGGTGAGTCGGTGGTGGCAGGAATGATGTAACAAGTGCCACACAGCCCTGGCTTTTCCCAGTTCCTTTGACTTCTCTGTGACGGCTCTCCTTGGTCTGATCATCCACATCTCTACACATCTGTGGTCCGAGCCCAGCCGAGGCGGGTTAGACCCCACCGAGGGGCCCTCTGGGAAGGAGTGTGCACAGCCTGTGTGCTTGACAACTAAGGCCGTGTCCTGTGAAACTGCTGATGTTTGATCTTTTTGATTAATACACAAGATTTCATCTGGTTGAGCCTTCTACCTGCCGCACAGGGCAGGGCTTCCTTAAGAATCGCGAGAGGCTCAAAAGCCCAGGCACTCGTCATCGGCATTGCCTTGGTGCTGCTCATTCTTCAGAAATGAAATGAAGAGCTGATTCTAGCCCCTTAGCCTCCTTGTGCCTGACTCTGTGCTGCCTTCTCTCACCATCCCCATTCTACAGGTGCGGGAGTAGAGGCACAGACAGATGGATTAGCAGCCCAGACCACCAGCCTGAAAACGGGAGGGGGAGCTGTGCTAATAACATCCCCCCATCTCTCGCCCTCCCCAGAGTGTGAATGCTAGCTCACTGGCGTCTTTGAAACAATTTCCTTTTCTGTGTTAAAGGCTTATCTTTGCGAAGTGCAATTATAACATCAGTGTGATGCAACAACCTGAAAATTAAAAACCCTTTGTTAGAGCGCTTTCCCGTGTTGAGCAACTGCCTGACTCACCCACGGAGTGGATATTTCTAGTTGACCTTGCCTTGGTCCGCAGTCAGCTCCACCAAGTGAATGTGATTGCCGCATGGCATGGAAAAGGTGCAGTCATGTTGCCTCGGCTTTATTTTTACCCGAGCTAAAATCACACATACTTCATTATTTCCATTGTAATCCAGATGGCACTGATGCTGTGAGAAGTTGTTTATTTTTAATTTGTATTGAGGGAATGAGAGCACACTTGGGATTCGATTCAAACTATGACAGAAACAATGTAATTGAAGCTCCTTTAATATGCATTTTTGGGTTTTGTGAGGTGTGCCAGTATTTCACAGGATTAACACATTGTCTGATATCCTGTTATTTTCCTAAGTTGTATTTCAGTTGATTTTTATCCAGATCAGACTCATTGAGAATGTCGAAAGACGTTGACCTTTGATCACAGACATTACATAAGAGTTTTTTCGGTTTCAAAATGAATTTGTATTACCACTACCCCCAATCACCTCTCAAATTTCTTTGCAAATAACTTTCCTGTAGTTAAAAAAAAAAACAAAAAACATTTCTCATACGGTTTTAATTAGAGAGCTTAAGCTTGTTTTTATGATACAGTTTAGTGGGGATTTTCTAGATGCCATTTGTAATAATCTGTGCTTTGAGGACTCAGTTTCATTGGAATCAGAATGATCTTTGTATTATAAGCCTTTAGTTATCAGAACATGGTGTCTTTATCAATTAACTCTCCAAGGATCTTAAAGGGCAATTCAATAGCCTTCAAGTAAACCTGAAAACATTTTTTTAAAAAATCCGTCCTATTCATAAGGCACGTAGTAAAGTAACTGACATTTGTAATCATTTGCTCACTGGGCAAGAAAGTGAAATTAAAAAGAAGAAATCAAAAAGTCAAGCTGAGGAGAACTGGAGTGGGTGGTTCTTCAGTGTACTTAACAAACATTCAAGAACTTTCCCTGCCCTCCCCCCACTCAGCCCTGCACCCACACCATTTCTGCCACCATTCTGCGTGTTACACGTGCTCTGCTGGTGGGAACCCATGGCAGAATTTCCTGTAACAGTTACTTTGTGATTGTTGGCGTCCCTTAGGATTTCAGATTAGTTGTCAGACTGATACATTCTCTTTGGAAGTAGCAAGGAAACTAGTGGTCCCCACTTTGAGAGACTGCAGCTTTTTAAAAATGCTTTACTATTCCTCTCCCCCCTACCCCCCATACCCAGATTCTTCTCCCTCCTCAGTGAGGGTGTGGCTGGTCTTTCCTTCTCCAGCCGTGCAGTTGTTTCTATGTGTTAGCATCTTTGCCCTTCCTGCGCACAGTCTTCCGAATATTTCCATTGTGCGCCATAGGTTACAAACACAGTCCTCTTATAAAAGAGTGTCAAATTATACTGTTTCATATTTCAGTTCCTTAAGTTCTATCAGTGCTATCACCAAATGCAATGTTGTCATATTTGTTAAGATTGAATCTAATTTTTAAGTGGTCCTTTGTTGAGGATGAGACATCAGTGTGATGCAACAACCTGAAAATTAAAATTAAAGAGAGAACAAGAAACTTGAAATATTTTCACATAGCATAAACTTGATCAGATTTTGACACATTTATTTACAAATTTGCCCAAATAGAAAACGTAGGTTAATTTTTTGCTATGATAGGACAGACTTTGGCAAAGCATGAGACTCACTCACTGTATGTGTGTGTTCATATCTGGATCACGTACACATTTCTCTCTAACATTAGGGTTAAAGTCTGTGTTACTAGAGATAGAAATCTCTTATTGAACGGGAGGCACTTCATTGGCAATTAGAGAGGTTTAGCATAGTTTTATTAATTTAAAAAGCCTTTGGGGCACCTGGCTGGCTCAGTTGGTGGAGCATGTGACTCTTGATCTTGGGGTCGTGAGTTCCAGCCCCACGCTGGGCATAGAGATTACTTTAAAAAATAAAAGCCTTTAATTTTTCAGCCTGATGAGAAAATCCCCTTGCGAGTTCAATGCTCCCTGGGTTTTTTCACACACACCCCCATCCCCCTTGACTGTACATGCGTATTCCTTTCCTGTTTTAACTCTGCTTTTAAGTACTGGATTTTATTCTTATCCATGAACAGAAGTAAAGCGTTTTATTGAAACAGTCATGTCATCAATTGTTAACCCTACCACGAGAAATGTAGGTTGACATTTTGCTAGTTTTAATAGTCTAAAGAACTGTGAATTAATTAACTTTGCTTATTTTTCACCGAAATGACATGTTATCTCAAAAACAAGCAGCTCTCTGCTTAGTGGAGAGATAGTTTACAATTTAACATAAAATGATTTTTTTTTTCTTTAATGGTATCTATACTGTGCCTCTGAGGGACTAAATGGCATATCCAGAGAGTGGAGGACAATGAGATAGTTCTATTTCAGAGATGCTTCCCAAATATGGAGCACTTCAAATAGTATCTCATCTTTGTAAATTTTTAAATCAAAATATGTAATACAAGCTATTTGCAAGAAGACTTCCCCTTTAAAGGGAGCATTAATAACCAACTTTTCTCATAGTAGACTATTTAATGTCTAAACTGTTGGTAGGATTTTAGATGCTGGAGACGAAATGTCCCTTCTTGTTTCGGAGAGAGTTTGAATTGCCAGCCACGGTTCTTCTGGGAGGTGCGCTGGGGGCCGGGACGGGTGCAGGTCTGTCTCCGTAAGCAGAAGTAACCATGTCACTCCTCGAGGAGGAATTTGGTGGAGACTTACAGGTTGTGAACTTGTATTCTTTTTTAAACTTTTTTAAGCCAAATTATAATCTTAATTAAAGATCACGTTTAGGTCATCTGACTCGAATACACATGACAGCTCAGCGTTTACAAAACCTAACTCCCGCCTGTGGAAGTGGTGTAACGTACTCTGAAAAAGCATGAATTAGAGACAGTGGCTGCGTTAGGGACGGGAAGATATGTCGGCTGGAATGTAGTGTCTCCGGCTCTTCGATTTCTTTCTATTCGTGTTCTTCTGAAGCAGCCCTGTTATCTAACGGGAGTGGTGAGGCTGACCACGCCGAACATGCCAGCGTCACAGAGCCGGCAGGAAGGGACAGTTGCCCGAGAAAGGAAATGGAAGGGGTGCTGCAGTTCAGTGCTGGTGGTGGCCCGACAGCGTGACGCAGAGGCGACGTGGGCGTTAAGTCAATCCGAAGGGAAAACACAGTTTGGAAGAGAGTCGTTAGTTGAGCATAAACACCGATGTGTCAGAAGGCCGTGTAAACCACGTTAGCACTTCCTTTGAGTTCACTGTCAGGGGACACGACTAGTTTCTGAGCTCCACCTCTGCCCTTCAGCACTGTGTGATCTTGGGAAAGTCACTCAGTCTCTCTGTGTTTCAACTGCCCACCTCCCCTCCATGTTGAAAATGGATACTTTCTGGTTTTGTACCAAAAAATCACAGGATCCAATGCCCCTGGCTGTCGTTTTTCTTTTCCCCTATTTTAGCATATAGGATTGCCAGGAGATTAAAATTTTAGCAGAGATGAGAGTTTAGAATGTTTTTGTAATTCATTAAATACTCTTGGGATATAAAACAACAGCCAAAGAGGCTGGAGGAAGGTTCCAGGTGCTACCTTTGTTGCCTTAAGGAAATTCTGGCCACCTCTGGTGGTGCCTTACTACCGCAAGACTAACGTAGTGAATGGGTGTGTATTACTCAGAAATGGGAGTGATCCAGAAGAGGAACTGGGCATGCACCAGAACAACCCCGTGCAGGCGTCAGAGAGGGTGCTGGTAGGGGAGTTGGACTTGGATCTGGGCTGCAGCTGAGCTCTGCTGCTTAGCCAGCTGGGGGGCACGGGGCAGGTCACTGGACTCCTCCGAGCCTTTTCTGTTTTGAAAACCCTTGTCGTGAGGCCAGGCTCTCTGTGTGGTAGGTGTTCAGTAAACAGCCCCTGTTGGGATTGCTTGTGTTGTTGTCACCATAAAGAAACCAGCAGAGGGGCTAGAAAGGATGTGCTGGGTGACCCAGTCCCCATGCTGCCGGCGCCCATCACGCGGGCCTCCCCTAGCGCTGGGTTCTCCGGTCGGGCTCCCGCAGGAGACCAGGACTTCCTTGACTCCTGAGTTTGGTTTTCCCTCCTCCCTCTTTATGTGCCCCCAGTCTGGCTCAGTGCCTGGTCCACAGTAGGCGCTCCACATTCCGTGTTGAATAAATCAGTTAATGAACAAGAGAAGCTCTCTGTTAACAAGTAAAATGTCTTTTTTTAGAATTTACGTAATAACATTCAGTTAAAAAAAAACTATCAGAAAGTGTTTCATTTACAAAACTCTCTTAGATAAGGCAAATGAGTGACTGCCAATCAGATGTCGGATACCTCTATGTTCAGTTTGTTGCTAGGACACAAAGACAATACTTTGCACCCTGAAAAAAATTACATACTAGTTGGATGTACAAAACAAACCTGCAGAAAGACAGTGTAGAAATCAGCACCTTTCTCTGCATTATCTCACACGCATGATAAACTTTTTTTCCAACACTGCAAGATTACTTGATAAAAAATATTACAGAAGATACTCTTAAAATAGTAGGTGGTGATTTGCCAGTGAGTCAGAGAGACAATTCGTATTTGCAGATGAGGGAAGACTCCCAGATTCTAGTACATGTAGTAAAATTCACATAGGAAGAAGCTTAAAAAGAAAGGAGACTTCCTGTAGGTTTTGAATGTACCGAGGAAGTTCTAGAGATGACAGAGTGGACACGTAGTGCTTAGACGGCGAGAAGAGAGGGGTCAAAGAGATGCTAAGACAAGGGGGATACTTTTGTTAGATGGAGTCGGACAGTGTCCTCCACACAGTGTGGTGAGGGCAGCCCCCCACTCTGGAGGCTCCTGGCACATGCAGCCTTTGGACCAGGAGGCTGAAAAGTCCCAACGCCCTGGTAGATTTGAAATGATGAAAATGGGTGAGAAATGATGAAATAAGGAAAAGTTTAGGAAGAGTAGCTAAGGCAGAATGGTGGGGCACTTCAAAAGCATAACTGTGAAAACCGGAGAGGCAAACGTTAAAAGAATGTGACTTTTTTTTAAAAGGAGGGGACACATTTTAAAATGCAGGGGAAAGAGTGAGTCTCTGGTGGAAAATGTACCCAGAATAATAGTGTTCAAGGAACTATATGATATTTAAAAAAATCAATAGTACCCGAGGAGCTGGTGGAGGTTTGAAGGGCATCCCCCCAAAAAAAGATCAGTGCCGCAGTCCTCCAGCTGCTGGAAGTTTGACTCTTTGCCTCAACACTCAGTTGACTTTGGTGGCGGGGGACTTGACCGAGCTGGGGAACAGAAATCTTTACTAGCAGTGAAGAGTCCATTGATATGTAGAGGAAAGATGGATTTTCGTGTCAGAAGACGAAACCTGAGTGGGAATATAGAAAGCAGTGTTGTTACACTAAGTGATAACTGGAAAGATTCCCTTTTTACACCATCACTGCCTACTGTGCAGACTCCTTGCGTTCACGTCGTGTTATCAAAAACAAACAGAAACTTGGTGTTATTAATCATGGATTTTGCTTAGTCACAACTGCCTGTTTCCATGTTGGCTCAGCTTGATGGACAAAAATGTGGCATTAAACCTTACTCTTTATGATCCTGAAATTATTACATCATTTCTTCTGTTCCTTCTGGAAAAGGCGCAAGAAGCTGGCAGGCTTTTCCAGCTGATAAAATTAAACTTCACTTCATTAGTCATTACAAAACTATGCACAAGAGAGGGAGAGTGATGTAAAACAAAAACATTAAATCTTTTTAATGTGGCAGGAGAGAGTGCCATATGCAGATAGCACTGAAGGAACGGTGGTCTCCTTTATGAAAGTATTACCTACTGGAAAATCAGGCAGAGAAGCCCTGTCGAGAAGCACAGTTGGGTCCAAAAACCACCACAAAAAGATTGTTATTGGAATCTAATATGGGTTTATTACCTCATGTCAAGCCAAATTCAGATTATAAATATCTCATCAGCAGAAAAGGAAGCTAGCTGATGGTTCTATTTTTGAGGGGTTTTTTATATTTTGTTTGAAACTAATTAGTAAAATGGAAAGAAATTCTTTCCATAATTACATTCTCTGGGTTTAAAATAATTTTAAGTTTCAAAAATGCACTCTACTTAAAAAAAAAAAAAAGGTCCCCTTGAATAGTAACTGTATATTTTAGTCCCAAACTACTGCATAAATGAAATCTATTGGGGCAGACTTTTCAGGACCCCCCCCCCCAAAAAAAAGCACCTTGGGCGCTTCAATTTTAAGTGGATGTTTGATCAATCAATTTGAAGGAACCAGAAAAAAGAAGGAACATACCTAATGTCATAGCACAGATGCATCAGAAGATATGGCTCTATTGAGAGGAGTCCCGTACATCCAGGTGTGCTGAGCCACCTGGCAGAATGCAGTCAGGAATGTGATGGACAGGTGTGTGTCCACATTAGAGTCAGATCAAAACAACCACGACTCGGTTGTTTGTGTGGCTTTTATTTTCATTTTTGTGAAAATACAGAGTTCACTTTAGAGTATATTTTATTCCATGTAATTGCAGAATTTGTGTATGGGTATGAGAGTTTACCTGGGGAAGTTCCTTTGAAGGGGGGTGAGTGTGTTTGCTCTGCAGTGATGTAAATGTCACCCAAAATTATTCAGAAGCACCACGATATGCAAGTACCACTTAAAACTTAACCAACCAGAGGCGATCTCTCATTTCCTTCCCGGGATGTCTTGTCTCTGTGTACCCACCCCCCCACCATTTCTGCTCCTGAAACAGCCTTCCTCTGTTTCTGCCTGGGCACGTGTGGTTTTGCTCCCAGTGTCCTGGCCCACGTGGCACTCTGCTGAGTGGTCTCACTGGGGACTTGTCCTCTGCAGCTTACAGCACAGGCATTTGGGCCCCTATCTCCTTTTCCCGATGGTAGCCTCTTTGAAGGGAAGGGCTATGTCTTGTTCAGACCTGTGTGTCCTCCGTGCTTAGCGTAGCTCCTCGTGCGTAATTGGCAATAAATATTTACCCAGTGGATAACGCTCTTCTCCTGTATTGCAGGGAACCTACGAGGAAGACCCCTACTCCATTCAGTAAGAGGAGCCAGCGAGATTCATTCCGGACAGCAGAACGGAAGAGAGAACATTGATGGCTTTCCCACCGCAGTTTTTAAAGCATTTGTGAATACTGGGGAAAGAATCCGTCCTGATTCTGATGCAGCTGAGAAAAATGCAGACCATCAAGAAGGAGCAGGCATCCCTGGATGCTGGCAGCGGTGTGGACAAGATGATGGTGCTGAACTCTGCGCTGACCGAGGTCTCAGAAGACTTGACAGGGGGTGAAGAGCTGCTTCTGAATGAAGGCAGCGTCGGGAAGAGCAAATCTTCCGCGTGTCGGAGGAAACGGGAATTCATTCCCGATGAAAAGAAGGATGCCATGTATTGGGAAAAGAGGCGGAAAAATAACGAAGCCGCGAAGAGGTCTCGGGAGAAACGTCGACTGAATGACCTGGTTTTGGAGAACAAACTGATTGCCCTGGGAGAAGAAAACGCCACTTTAAAAGCTGAGCTGCTCTCCCTAAAATTAAAGTTTGGTTTAATTAGCTCCACGGCCTATGCCCAAGAGATTCAGAAACTCAGTCACTCTACGGCTGTGTACTTCCAAGACTACCAGGCGTCCAAGTCCAGCACTGGCCCCTTTGTGGATGAGCACGAGCCCTCGATGGTGACGAGCGGCTGCATTTCTGTCATCAAGCACTCCCCGCAGGCCTCCCTGTCCGATGTTTCCGAAGTGTCCTCGCTGGAACATTCACAGGATGGGGCTGTGCGGGGTGGCTGTGGGAGCCCCGAGAGCAAGTTCCAGGCCATCAAGCAAGAGCCTGTGGAACTGGAGAGCTACGCGAGGGAGCCTGGTGATGAGCGGGGCGCCTACCGGGCCTCTGTGTATCAGAACCTCATGGGGACCGCGTTCCCCAGCTACTCCCACTCTCCCCCTCTGCTGCAGGTCGCCCGGTCCTCCAGCAACTCCCCCAGGACGTCGGAGACAGATGACGGCGCGGTGGGGAAGTCATCCGACGGAGAAGATGAGCAGCAGGTTCCCAAGGGCCCCATCCATTCTCCCGTGGAGCTTCAGCGCGGCCACGCCACCACGGTGAAGGTCCCAGAAGTGAACTCCTCCGCCTTGCCGCACAAGCTCCGCATTAAAGCCAAAGCCATGCAGATCAAAGTAGAAGCGTTTGATCACGAGTTTGACGCCGCACCGAAACCGGCCTCGCCTATGGACGGGACGCCCAAGAGACCCTTCGAACTCGAGAAGCATACTGCCCCAAGTATGGTACACTCTGCCCTCACCCCTTTTTCAGTGCAGGTGACTAATATTCAAGATTGGTCTCTCAAATCGGAACACTGGCATCCAAAAGAACTTAATGGCAAAACTCAGAATAGCTTCAAAACTGGAGTTGTGGAAATGCAAGACAGTGGCTACAAAGTGTCTGACCCAGAGAATTTGTTTCTGAAGCAGGGGATAGCAAACTTATCTGCAGAGGTGGTTTCACTGAAGAGACTCATAGCCACACACCAAATCTCTGCTTCGGACTCTGGGTGAATTACTACTGAAAAGCTCTGGGTCTTTAGAAAGCCGTCATTTGCAATAGATGAGTACGTTTTGTATTAGGCTGAATTTTCACTGGACCCGTGATGTCATTCCACTGTAATGTTGACACATTGTCTGCTGGGTGTCTTTTTGTGCACAAATTATTATGGAAATTAGATCGTGTTATCACTCTGCCTTCTGTATAGTAAAATAGTCCATGCAAAGCCTGTATATATTGAACATTATTTTTGTTGTTCTATTATAAAGCGTGTCAGTTACCAGTTTCAATAAAGGATTGGTGACAAACACAGACTTCTGCTCCATTGCACTTGATTTTATGGGGGAAAAAAAAGCAATTTGAGTTCTAAAAGTGGATATTAAAATATTCCATGTTTTACTCATTCAGGGGAGTTTTCTCCCCTGTGTTAGGGAAAGCCGAAATGTAAGTTCAACACATAACTTGTTTTTCTTCTAGTTTGGCCTGGGCTATAGTAAGTTTGGAAACTTTACAAAGAGAGGGCAAAAAAAATAATAATGACTTTTCTTGCATTTGAGACTAATTTACTAAATTACTCCTCATTATCTCTTATTTTTCTTTAAGCTTAAGTTTTCTGTGGGTTTTTGTTGTTGTTGTTGTTTTAAGTAGAAAAATCCAAGTTGTCTGTCGTCAGCCTCTCTTGGGTCATCTCTTTTTTTGAGTATGACACATTCATGTGGATGCTTGAGTCACTGACCCACTTTATTAATTAGAGGTTCTTTTAAAAAAGAGTGTCTAGGGGCGCCTGAGTGGCTCAGTTGGTTGAGCGACTGCCTTCGGCTCAGGTCATGATCCTGGAGTCCCGGGATCGAGTCCCGCATTGGGCTCCCTGCTTGGCAGGGAGTCTGCTTCTCCCTCTGACCCTCCTCCCTCTCATGCTCTCTGTCTCTCAAAAAAAAAAAGACTGTCTAAAGACTAAGGATGAAGTCATGGTATTCTAAATCTTGACTTTACAGTTCTTGACTATAACAGTTCTTGACTATAACAATCTAGGGAATTAAGCTAGTGAAATTCCATTTTTATTTAATTTCCAAAATTTCAGGAACACATCAGCTATCCCATTCCAGCAAGTATAGTCTGAGTATGCATCATGACTTGTTATTTCTACTTGGCCAGTGATGAATATAAATAGTAGCTCAATAGTAGAAACTGTAATGCAGAAGCCCACAAGAAAGCGTCATTCTAAGTCACTTAACGCTAAGACAGCTACTGATGATTCGTCCAGCCTCTGCAGTTGCCCTGTGCAAGTAGGTGTGGTGGGACCCAACGTCTCCTGTTGCAGGGTGGGACTGGCCCCCCGGGGTGGGGTGGGAGGGGCGGGCGGATGCTGGTTAAGCCCAGCCTTCTCCAAAGCTACCGTCCTCAGGAAGGCCCTCTCCAGATCCAGCTCTTTCCCACTGACCTCCCTCCTGTTCTACAGAGTGTGGAGGGGCTTGAGGCTCACGGGACGTGTGCAGACTTAACCCTCACTCTGCTCGCTGCCCCTGTGTCATGGTGCCTCCCAGGAGGGGCCTGCTTGTAACACCCCATTTACAGGGCTGCGGTCTTTTTGGCTGACTGGTTTGAACAAAAGCTTACTCCTTTGTATTTTTAAAAGTGGCCCTTTGAGTTAAAGGGCCACATACATGCTCTCTACTCTGTCCTTTTGGTCACGGTGACCTTTTGGTCAGTTTTCTCTCTGACATTTCCTGGCTTGTAGAGAAATGTGGTTTCTTCTCAGCCCTTGGCCTTCTCTCTTCATATTTTATCAGTGACTGGGTAAGGCCCAGAGGCAAACCCATCTCATTTCAAATGTTACAAAGCACAGGAGGACTAAAATATTGCATGGGGGTCAGGACCCCCCATGCAATAGAATGGGTGAAATGAACCCAACCTGGATATAGTAGGGATACCATGTAAAGTCAGATTCCTATATTAAATGGGAAAAAAAAAATGCCATCCAAGTTCACAACTGGGAGAAAAAAAATACAGTAAGTACATGGGGAGGGGGTGGGGCTCTAGTTTCCTCCTTGCTATGAGTCAGCTCTCAGTAGATGTTGGTTGTGTCCATACAAACAGTGTCCAAACACGAAGACGCCTGTCCTGTTGCATAGGGTGGACAAGTTGAGGTACAAGAGGAAACGCTCCAAAGGAACCTAGCAGACGTGTCAGATCTCACAGCCATGAACCAGAAGATACTAAGAAAACTGACAAATTGCCCCGAAAAGAGGTGAACCATCTATACTGTGTGGTGCTGGAAGGGAGAATAAGAACAGGCAGATGAGAGCAAGAAAGGTAAATCTGGGGCGCCTGGCTGGCTCAGTCGGAAGAGCTTTCGACTCTTGGTCTCCGGGTCACGAGTTCGAGCCCCATGATGGTGGTAGAGAGCACTTAAATAAATAAACTTAAAAAATATGTATTTAAAAAGAAAGGTAAGTCTGAGTTACTTTAAGGAAGAGGCAGGCATCTGTCAGAGCAGTGCCGGAGCGAAGTGGCCTGCCTGAGGCCCCAGAACTTCCACAGTAATTGCTAGTAGGAGCCGTCAGGGTGAATATTTGCATTTAAACATGATTGGATGCCTTTTTCCTCCATCATCTTGCCTTACAATTTCAGGGATCTAAGATGTAGTCAGAATGATGTATAGAATGTTACTCCTTAAAAATAAAAGTGGCATAAACAAGCAGTTCCACACTCACCAGGACCAAAGAACTATCATGTAAATACACTGACACTTCCATCATTGCGTGCGGGGAAACGTGACCACCTCTCCCTCCCACTCACAGAGCTCAAAATCATATAAAATGCCCGTATGCCAAATAAACCTGCAACTGTACCCAACAAATAAGAATGAGAAGGCTCAGAACAGCCCAATTCCCAAGCATTCCCAGGAAGATGGCGCTCAGGTAGGGCTTGATGGGGAGGAAGCTGTGAAAGCGCAGAGCCCCCACCGCAGCCCCAGGCACCGCAAAGGGAGGGGAGCCCGCTGACCAGCCGTGGGGTCCGTGGGGACACGGCCGCAGGAGCAGACCTGCCCAGGAGGAGGGCCCACAGGCAGGGCATCGCCTGGCAGTGATGGCAGGTGCATGTGTCCCCGAAGGGGCCCACCTAGCGGCACGTCCCCTTCCCCTGCCGTGTGCAACAGTATCTCATTAGTTCCCACGCCCGTTTTAGGCGGGAGGAGACTGAGACTCTCAGGGGCCAGCACCAGTCCACCCGCCACCAGGCGAGGGGGGGCCAGTGAACCCCATGTGGCACTTCAGTCCGTGCCCAGGGGCAGCCCCGCGAGATGAGCGGGAGCGTCTCTGAGCTGCAGGAGCAAAGCGGGGAATCTGAGAATGTTCCAGCTTGTTAAGTGGCTTTTGTCTGTGGATGAGGAAGGCTGCTGCGGAAACATCTCCTTTTCTGCTGCATAACCGTCGGGGGAGAACTATTTTGCTTTTCTTCAAGGGTCAACTATTCCCACAGAAGAGCAGCTAACACCTGTGTAGTTTTCCCACACGCACATCCACAGGGGTGTTCACACTCATGTCCACATGCACGTCCACAGGCATGTCCACACTCATGTCCACACTCATGTCCACATGCACGTCCACACGCATGTCCACACTCATGTCCACGTGCATGTTCACACTCATGTCCACATGCACATCCACACGCATGTCCACTCATGTCCACGTGCATGTTCACACTCATGTCCACATGCACGTCCACACGCATGTCCACACTCATGTCCACACGCATGAATTCTTCCGAAGTCCAGTCACCTTCTTGGCACACAGTTATTATCCATTACAAACTTCTTTTAAAATCGTGTTAAGTCAAAAAAAAAAAAAAAACACTGGTAGCTATTAAACTTATTTTTGAAAACTAGAAATTATCCCTCAGAAGTGAGAATCATTGGCTGCACTTTCTTGGTTTTTGTTTTCGTGTGATTTTAGGGGCAGGGATTGGGGGCTGTTGAGGAAGTAGTATAATTGTTGGAGTGATTTGAACAGGGTCCCCCAAGCTACGTGCACTAGGAAAACTTAAATAGGAAAAACTTGCCAGGGATATGAGATCTGGGGACTCAACATGCCCAGGAGGCCAGAGAAATAAGAGAAAATTCACGATTATGAACTGTAGTGAATGGTCATGTCTTCCAGGCAAGTGAGGTGAGATATGCTGGGTTTGAACGCGTTGGCCGTATTTTCCATGGAGCTAGCTTGTAGTGATCTGAACGGACACGAGGAAGAGGTCAACGGAGAACTAGTGGAGCTAAGCAGTAGAAATCCAGGCTAGGGAGAGCAAGCACTTACCGCCTCTGTGTCGTCATGCTAGGGGCCACCTAGGAGTGATCATGTTGTTGAGCGGATATACTAAATACGCTAAGTAGCCCACTGCCATGTCTGCTCTCTCTGATCTTTCAGTCTTCCCCCCTTGAGAAGGAAAAGGTTACTGTGGGGAAAGTGCTTGACTAAAGTCCAAGGTTCTGGGGGTCCAGAGCAAGGCCCCTTTGGAAATGCACATGGATGAAACCCTGAGGATGGGGTAGAGGGGACAGCAAGTCTTATGGCCGGGGGCACAGCAAAGGAGACGAGGAAGGAGCAGCCCCAGAATGGACCACCCTTGAAGTAAGCAGATGGTTCAGTGTAACCAGGTTAAAACTCTAACAGCAGTGCCCGATTTCCCGTGAGACAGGGAACTTTCTCTTTGAGAAAATAACTTCTGGTTTGCTGCTGGGGTCCCAGGAGGGCTCTAAAAACAGTGGCAGCACAGGTCCAGGACCCCGAGAGAAAGAGGCAGGTGCTTTGCAGAGAAGGTGCGAGGAGATGGGGGTGGCAGCTTGGGGCACCGCCTTTGACAGGAAGGGGATAGGGACTAAAGAGAACAGAAGGAGGGGCCGGAGGCCCAGGAAGGTCACTGATGAACATATGGTAGAAACACTTCTCCATGTCCTCCTCAAATCGACAGTAAGTCCTACAGGCTCTCCAGTGCTTTGTGTGAGTGGATTTTTGATTGTTTGCTGACTTTACATCTGGGGCAGTGTTCTGCACAGCAAGGCAGCTCACCTGGGGGCAGGCACCCAAGGGGATGCTGAAGGTGGATGCCCCAGAAACCTGAAGAATCTGGAAGGGGTTCTGGACCTTGACCACTCGGAGGCCACCTCCTCTGGGCCTGGAGGTTAGGGAGGCCCCTCCAATCCTCAATAAATACGAATTGCCTACGGGTACCCAGTTTTGTGCAGCATGCTGTTGGGGAAACAGAACATAAAGATACAATATCTCCTTTTGAGTTTTGAATTTGCTTGAGGAGGAAA